CTTTTACACGCGCGCGAGAACTCACACGCACGCCCATATCAACATCACTACCAATTGCGATCGGTTTTCCTCATTTACTAATTAGGAAAGGTTACGGTCGAATTAGATTCTGCAAAAGCATTCAGAAATAAATATGTTGAAGTACATTGAATTTAAATGTATCTTGTGAAAATAATAAGCAGCAATTCTGCGCATGCGTAGCACGAGTGAGGTGTTTTGTGCGTGCTTGTGTGCTGTTTTTTTTTTCCTGGTGGAATAGAGCAACGTTGCGTAACAGGCGCACGGGCCCTTTTTTTGGGAAAGGGGCTGGGGGGGGGCTGACACACACGCAGGCACACATTCACGTGCACGCACGCACACGAACATCCATTGCTAAAAAAAAAAAAAAATCGTCCAGCCCCGTCGTCATTTTGGAGTTTCAAGGACACAGGGGTGATAGCTGGTGGATGATGGGTAATATAGAGGAACATCTGTTTGCCTAGTGACGTCATCGTCATCAGCACCCCCCCCCAAGCCCTTCCTTCTCTCCCCCCTCCCTCCTTCCATCATCCCAATCCTCTCTTGCGCTGAAGGCAGATGCCTCATTTGTTTGGCCGGAGAGTGGCCATTAATCCCAAAGTCAGGAAGGAAGAAGGAGTTCAGCACGGCTCTCTTCTGGACTATATCGAGTTTCTTTTTTTTTTTTTTGCGTCTGTGTGTGTTGATTTTGTTGTCTTTTTTTTCTCCCCCCTCTAGGTGCAACATGAAGGAAAGATAGGACTTTTACTCTTTGCAAGGATCTTTTTTTTTTGCTTCTTAATTTTGTTCTCGGAGCAATGAAGCAAGATTCTTGTTTCTTTTTTCTTTTTTTTGGGGGGGTTGGAGTCGATGTCGAATGGAATGCAGCAAGAGGATCACTCTCTCACACAGACACGTACACGCGCGTGCGTGCGCACGTTAAGGCACGCGGTGAATGCCAAGAGATGATCCTCCTCGTCTTCTATCGGAATATATTCATGTCTTTACCTTTTCAAAACAAATAAATATGTTTTAAAAGCAGTTTTTTTCAATGTGTGTGCGCGCGTGTGTGTGCGTGTGTGAGCGTGTGTGAGAGAGAGATCGAAGGAGAGCTGTCCAGCGCGCGGTGCTGAAATCAGAGTCTTTTGTTTCACTCAGCACAAATGCCGACACTCTCCACTCCATCTCCGTAGCGCAGCTCAGCGTTCCACGTCCATAAAAGAAATTCCACTGTGTTTATTTTTTTCACGTCTGACGGTCATTTAATATTCGAGTGCAGTGTCGTTTTTTTTTTGTTTTGTTTTTTTTAAGTGTCATTGCGTGACAATATATTTTGCGTTTTACATGCACTGTGGAAGGTAATTTTAAAGCCGGGTTCAGTAAACTGTTATTTAAAATTGACATTAAAAAAATGTAGTTAAAAAAAATAAAGTAGGGGAGGGTGACAGGATTTGGCCTCAGCGCGACCCCTGGTGGCGACGCGAAACGTTGCAGCATTCAGCTCGTCTTCAGGACGGGAAGTGATTAGGAGCGGGTGGGGGCGGCCGGAACAAGAATAAAGTCGTAAAGTTTCAAGAACAAGACTTTTTGCGATGTTGAAGGAACATAAGTAAGTATACATTTAGATGCATCGATATTTTTGAGGTGCAAAATTCCGAAAATAAAGTCTGAATGTTCGGAGATGAGTCGAAAAGGACATCTAATATTTAATCTGAAATCATCGCATTTTCAGGAGTGAATTTTAAAATAGGACTATTTTGAGTTTCAACTTTATTCTTGCTTTCTCGATTTTTTTTTCCCGAATGTTGCTCTTTGTAATCACTAAAAAGATAATTCACTGCGTATTACCTCGTTGCCAAAATGCGACTTTGCTAGTTATATTAACAAAAGAAAAAAATAAGATGCTATTTTAAAAATATTACGTCTTTAATTCTTAAATGGGACTTGATTTAATGAGATTAAGAGTTCATTTTACTTTTGGATTCTAACAAGATGAACGTTTTTGCTCCTTAAGAAATCCACTTCAATTAGTATTTTCACTTTTTTCCCCCTAATTAAATTGTAATTAAATTGTTTTCGATCTTTTATTTATTTATTATTATTTTATTTATTTATATACATTTATATTATTTTTAACATGATCGCACAACACAGAAAATACAGAAAAATAAATACATTATAAAAACTAGGCAAACAAGACACCTTTTGGCTCCTGGAGTTTGATGTGGCCCTCAATGCAATTCTAAAAACTAACAACAACAAAGAAATCCGCAAAACAACAATTGACCTTGCATCATATTTATTCGGGAATTTAGGAATTAAACATCTTTGACCACCCCTGATATAAGCAATAACCTCCCCCTTAATTAACAGAACGAGTGCGGGGTAGTCCAACCAATCACGTCTTCCCTCAACTCATTTTCTGTTCATTTCCTCCAATTAAGAAAGCAATCAACAAGAAGACTGCAGAAAATGGCGTCGGAGGCAAAACAATTGCAATTCAATTAAAATCCACACCATTAAGACGAAGCGGAAGACGGACGGACGAGCGGAAACACTGCAAGAATTTCAAGGAACCAGATTTTAGGATGCTGCGTCACGATGACGTCAGGAATGACGTTCCGTGATCGTTTCCGCCCGGTGTTAAAAAACAAACAAAAAAAATTCCTCAGCAGCCGACGTCGCCAGCGCAGTAGCGCAATTTCCTACGAGTAGGCCTACAGCGCCATCTCGTGGTATTAAGTGCTCAATACCACAAATTCAATAGCCCTGAAACGTCACTGAATGAATCGCACCTGGGTTGGACCGTACCAAAGACATTTTGTCAAAGATATTACAGTGTAGAATGTGAAGATGTCGACCCCGAGTGGGCAAAAGTTACACTTTTTATTATGTAAAATAAAAATGCGAAACATGAGGTATACAGCCAAATAATTGTTGTTACTATTATTTTATGAAAAATGGGATAATCTCCAGGCAAGATTTGGGAGAGGGGAGAAAGGTGTCTTGAAAAGACAGATACGGCCTCATCAAAGTCGTAGCATAAAGACAATGCCAATGTTAGAACTTGCGGATTGTTAGCTGTTTTTTGTCAAACGAAAATGTGCAATAATGAATCAACTGGTGCCAATCTGGAAAAAGACCAATGTCATTTTTAGATGCAGTGACATTAAAAACATTCTAAAAAATGTGTGTCGCCCGGCGTAATTAGCTAAAGATGCTTCTTGCTAACGTTAGCTAAACTTGCCACGACACAAAACCAGGCTAGATGAACAACATGTCAAATTACTTATATAAAATGCCATTTTCTTTTTCCTGAAAAAGACAATCATGTCAAAGAAAGTCATGAGAAAGTCCTAATCTCGCAGAGGACTGGCGTGAAAGCAGCGGAAGGAGTTACGAGGCGGGCGGAGAAAGTCTCGGGAACACCTTCATGGCCAATCGGCTCAGCCTAATGAGACAAGATGGGGCCGGGGCGCGACGGTGTGCGGCGGCCATTACAGCCTCGGCCTGTCAGCACTTTGGTAATGAGGACGGCGCGGCGACTGGACACCCAGCGAACATGAATATACATTAGTATGACATGACACAAACTTAGTCAATGTGACCTCACACCACAGTGGACTTCAATGTAGCCTGAAAGCGCCCATACACACAAAATGAATTAATCTGTTCCAAGGTCAGTGTCATAAAACACGTGATTAACTGTACATGGGCTGCCTTTCCTTCCTCCCTCAAATACAGAGATCTTCAAACAACCAAGGAATTAATCTGTTCCAAGGTCAGTGTCATAAAACACTTGATTAACTGTACATGTCCTACCTTCCTTGACATCAAGAACCTGACTTCATTTATTAGCAAAATGCTTCAAAAGCACGCGTCTCCACAAGGGGGTGCTAATAACCCATACGAAAGGAAAAACCAACCAGTGCGGCCGCACATATCCGCATACCAGAAACTGCCAATCCAAAAGGCACAAACGAAATGCTGTGTTACCTAATAGTAGCGAGTATTAGCAGAAAACCTTGAGTTTTCTGCGAGTCAGATAAAGCCTCCTAGAACATCGAAACTTTAGTTGGGTTTAATCAGAGGTGGCAGGTGTGTGCTGACTCCCATTGAACATGAGCTCAGATGTGATTGGTTAATTCTAAACAGACACATCCAAGACATATGAGGGTGTGCGCACTTGTGCAACACCATTCTTTTCATTGTTTGCCTACTCAGAAATTATTTTTTTTCTCCAATTGAGTTGTACGGTTCATAAGTCGCGGTAATGGTGGAATAAGTTTTGGATTGATTCCATTTGTTTTAGTAAGACAAAAACCTAGCATGAGAACAAGGGGGCGCAGAATTTTGAAAGCAATGTCATATCGGACAGTCAGACGTTGCCTTCAGGGACGGTCTAAAAATCAGAGCTTTTCGTACACAATTGAGCAACTGTTCCACATCTATCGTTCTTTTTTTTTTTTTTAATTACCAGGAAAAGTTACGGCCCACAAGAGAGCGTTAAGGACACAAATGAATAATCGTTCCACATCTATCCATCTGTCAATCACTCGAGAAATCAAGCTATCAATTCAATCCAATTGAGTTGTAGGAAGCACGATAGTCCACAAGATGGCGGAACGACCACGAGTATGTTATGATGCAATCTCGCCGTGGGTATCCTGACGACACACTGCGTAAGAAGACAATAGAAAAGTCGATTAAAAACACGCTAGCACTTGAAAATGAACGCCACGTCGGAGAAAATTGTTTTTTTTTAACTTTGGTCGGTTTGTTTTTGTTGAGTGTTGAAGCGCAAGCTCAAGTTGTAGACTCGGAATGATGGCCGTCCTGGAAAGAACAGCGCAGGGTTAAAAAGTGTTCGACATGGCGTAAATAGCGAGAATGAAAACGTTAAACTGACTTTGTTGGTGTGGGGTATTAATGGGCGAACCCTCTTTAACCCCCCCCCCCTTCGGAAAATAATGGACAAACGGGAGCGAGATGAAGAAAAGCGAAAGAGAAAGAGAGACAGAAAAAAGAGAGAGAGAGAGTCTCCTCCTCTTCCTCAGCGTCTCCGCTGACAAGTGTGACAGCGTCAAACTCGCAGAGGGCAACGCCGGGGCGAGACGTGTTGTCAAGAGTTCCCCCCCTCCCTCCCCTCCCACCGAGGCGCGCCATGGACCGGAGGCTCAACTTGAGCGGCGACATCTTCCACAAAACTCTGAGCGCCGTGTCGGGCAAGAAGATGCACGACCCGTACCGGGGCGGCGCGGAGCTACCCGCCCGCGATCGCCAGTCCTCGCCGGGCATCGGCTGCTTCGAACGGGGCGACTCGGACCCCATGCAACCCGGAGGATTGGCCGGGGTACGGGCGGCGGCTCTGAGTTTGCCCACCGGCTCACTGTGCATCAAGTACGTCGAGAACGCGTCGGCGGCCGCGGCGGCGGCGGCGGCGGAGAGCAGCGGCGGCGAGCAGAGCCCGGACGACGACAGCGACGGCCGCTCGTGCAGCGACATGCTGCTGCTGGGCGAGCGCAAAGGCAAAGCGGAGGGCGGCAAGAAGAGCAAAGAGCAGAAGATGCTGCGGCTCAACATCAACGCCCGCGAGCGGAGGCGCATGCACGACTTGAACGACGCGCTGGACGAACTCCGCGGCGTCATCCCGTACGCGCACAGCCCGTCCGTGCGTAAACTGTCCAAGATCGCCACGCTGCTGCTGGCTAAGAACTACATCCTCATGCAGGCGCAAGCGCTGGAGGAGATGCGCCGGCTGGTGGCTTACCTCAACCAGGGCCAGGCCATCTCCGCCGCGGCCATCCCGGGCACCACCGCGCTGGCCGCGCCGCCGCCCGGCCTGGGCGCTTACGAACCGCCGCCGCCACCCCCGCCGCCCGGGTACCCGGCCTTTCCCTCCAGCGCCGCCGGGGTGGCCGCCGCGTCCTCCTGCCCGGACAAGTGCGCCCTGTTCAACACGGCCGCATCCAGCTTGTGCAAACAGTGCACTGACAAGCCTTAACCCGGCCCCGCCTGAGGTTAGAGACTCCATACCGACACTTTTCTAACATTTACAGTCAATACTTGATCGTGTACATAAAGTCGTCCTCGAAGTGCTGGTGTGAATGACTACATTGGACTTCTCTACGTGGAGATTTTTTTTTTTTAGGGGGGGATTTTTGGAGGGGTCCTGACAACTTTTTACCCCACTTTTGAGGGGGATCGAACCTGCCCCCCCCCCTATTTGTTTGTTTTCTCGATGCGGAATGTCACAACAATTGAGTCATATTTATTCTGTTGCAGGGACACTGTGAAAACAATTCCACGTGTCTTTTTTTTTTTGTGGTCATGTATTCTATTGTCCATTGCACACGCTGGTCTTTTCCATTTGATGTTAATAGACGAGATGGTTGTCAGGTCGAGCTGTGTCGATAGACTCGAGTTATTCTTTGAGCAGAAGGCCCGTTTGTTTGTATTTGAGTGTTGGGGGGAGGGGGGGTCGGGGGAAAAAAGCTTTATTAAAATATTTTGAACAACAGAAACGACCGAAATGCTCATTCCTTGCCTTTAAAATTCAGAGAGAGTACATTTCTAAACAGTTTAAAATGTAAAAATATATATATTTGTTTTTTAGTGTTAAGAATGCTTTTTATTTATTTGGCTTTTGTACGGACATTTTTTTAGATTATTCAATCCTATTTCATCTACAAAATATTTTAAAATGGGAGAAGAGAATGTGCTATTTACGTTGAAACTATAAAAAAAAAAAAAGCTTTTCAGCCGCGTGTCATAAAAACGATTTCAGCACCGCGGACAGCGTCGTCGGCTGATTTTTCGGATTGTGAAAGACAAAAGTGGGAATCTGGTGATTTAAAAATCTGATTCGAGCGAATATGGCATGGCCGTGTTAACAATGAGAGGCTTTGAGTTTGTGATAAGCAATTTGGACAACAGGGCCCGCCGATGCGTCCCACTTAATCCCGTCACGCTTCCTCCTTTCTTCCTTAACACTTTTAGAAACACGATTATTTTTTCCAAAGTATACACACACATGCACGCACACCCCCCCCCCCCACACACACACACACTCACACAAAATCATTTTTATTTCAGCGTTTAAAAAAATTAAAACGACAGGAGCGTTTTAAACATGCTAATATTTACATTGTAGCCCGGAAGAGATGATTCCCTGGAGGGAGAAATGGAGCCAAGTGTGTGTGTGTGTGTGTGTGTGTGTGTGTGTGTGTGTGTGTTGCTTGATTGGCATAACTGTAGGTATGTGTGCTCTGATGAGTTTCGAATTGGCCCAAACTAAGAATAAAGTCTTGGGCCCAAGTGTTCATTTAAAAACAAGTTAGAGGTTTTACTCCTGAAAAAAAAAACAGATTTAATATGGCTGTAAGAGAAAAAAAAAGACACTTGACTTCAAAACAGGAAAATAAATAAAAGAATGGTCCAATGAAAATCGATTGCAGGAAAGTCTTTGAAAACTGCTCCTAAGCTTCCACATGATGCGCCAAAGTAGCAGAAATAGTTTTTTTTTTCCCCATACACCGACCCTAATAAAGTCACAATATTATGAAGACAAAAAGCATATTTTCATGAAGTCATAAAATGGTAAGAAAAAAAATTCTAAGACAACACAAAAAGATGACATTCTACTTTTCTACATTCTTTTTTTGTGGGTCCAATTGACCTTTTTGAAAACTTTTTCAGTTTAGGATAAAAATATTCTCCTGTCTGTATTTTTCTTTCTTCCACACACCACTCAAGCTTCACCTGACAACTCATTTTTGGTAGGAATGATTGCAAACGGCTACCAGTTTGATAGACACTTCTGAAGCAACAAATTTTGCTTTCGTGATATTCCCGATCATTTTGATGATCGCACACAGTCATGAAACATTTCAGTGGGCAATAATTTCCACAAATATCCGCATGTAAATAATCACTTTGACAACATTCCTCGGAAAGCACAATGTCCCACCACTAGACGAATATTATTGACTGTACATTTCAAGCTGTGTTTGTATGGACTAAACACATGAAACAACTGCAAATTAGACTGAATTCGAAACCCAACTTGCACAAAAAAATAACCCCAAGTAAGCAAATTAACAATATGGCGTCACTTATACAGAAGTGAAATTTTACATAACATCCATCCATTTTCCCACTAGGGACAATTTAGAGTGTTCAATCAGCCTGCCATGCATGTTTTTGGAATCAGTAATTTTCAACCAAGGTGCCGTGAGGTGTCATAAACTATTAACACAAAGGATGGAGCAACACATGTAGACAAACGATAGTGTAATACTGCCAGGCATATATTCTTTATCCTCTAGGAAAAGCATTGCAATATTATTGTAGCTGACAGAGGCACTGAGAGTAGTGTTGCCTCGGGTTGTCCTGACCCCAAGATCAGAAATCAGGGCCTATCACATGATTTTTCCACTGATCAGCATTGAATGAGAAAGTTGCAGATACTCAAAATCAAAAGACTTGGATTTGGGCTCACATCCAAGACTCCATCTTGAACCACGCCTGACAATAAAACGCAACGCAGGTACCCCGAAAGCAAGCACAAACGTTATTTTTTTCTTTTTATACCCACTATAAAATGTCCAATTTAACATATCCTCTTGGTAGAAGAAAAAAGGGATGATGAAGACCAAATCTACATACAGCGCATGGAATTGAAACGTCCTATCAGCGATGAGGGACATCCTGGCCTTGTGGCAGGGAGGAAAATAGCAACGCAAAGATATATGGTGAAGAGATATATGTGGCGGCATGGCGCCGGGCGGTAATTTAGCGAATGACACCCAAGCGTGAGCCATGTATTGCGTTGCCTCGTAAAAAGTACACAAACCGAGCGTTTACACGTTGGGCGCATTCAATTCATGTCTGTTCCTTATCGGGTATTCATGTTCTGAAGTTGACAAGAGGCATGCCATCCGGTTTCCAATTAATCCTGGACGGGTAGGATCCAAATGTAACTTTGCAAAAGTGTCCACACCCGCTGATAACTGGGGATGTGGCCCGAGTTCTGAATGAACCTATCACGAGTCGGTGTCTCTGATGAACTCCAAATCAAGTTCAGGTGTTCTAGTAAGCTTTTTCGGACTTTTTTTTTTTTTTTGGTTTTGTTGACTAGCAAAAGCTATGTTGCTACGTTGAACGGGTTATATAATTCCTTCCCACCAGGTCAATGCGAAGAAAAACAGTCCTATGTTCAGGTGGAGGGAATTCTGAACAGTTCCAAATAGCTTTAGGCTTCTGCGACAATGCTAGCAAAACTGTCAAGAAAAGCCTACTAGAACACCAAAGCGTTCAATGGCCGTTTAAATGGTGGCGGGTGTGCGCTGACTCCCGTTTTTTTTAACATGCCTTTGAATGTGATTCAGTCATTTTGGAACATTTTGATTTATCCTAATTTTTTTTTTTTTTAAAACATTAAAAAAATATTTTAGACTCATTTTACCAGCCTTCTAACAGACTTAATTTTACGATGTGGATATAAACACACTAAAAGGTTTGTTTATAAGCGTACGAAGCTTTAATTAGCAACATCCCATTAACTTCCCACTGCTCGCTTTCGCGTTGCCGCCATTTAGCTGCCCATTCGAGACAATTGCGCGACTGACTCATTTCAAACGTGTTTTCATAATGAGCAACTAATCTACTAATATGTGAGGTCAGGTAAACATATGGTGTTTTTCTCAGGGGGTGGGTATGGGGGGGGCACAGTACAATAAATAACTCACGATTATCCACTCTGTAGGAAATGCGATTGTTGGATGACATCTCAAAATATTCCATTTGCAACCATATTAATCAGATTAAAATCCCCTAATCCTTGTTTACTCTTTGTGCTGTAATCGGATGTGCTTTTATTCCGGCGGGATTAAAATGTGTCATAGCAGTAGAGTGCAGTCACTTGTGGGGTCAAAACAGCACGGTGGAGAGAAACCCCCCCTCCCCCCAAAACAACAAAAACACGACCAATGGTGATTTGCTCTTTGAAATAGTTGGTAAACTTCATTATTTTCAGAGTGATAACCCATAAATGGATGAAAAAAATTGATTGAAAAGAAAAATGTTTGGGGTTGACAGTATCAATGCTGCAATAGCATTAGCAAAAAAATGTAACATCGTTTGTCCGTCTATTTTTTATACCATTTGTTATCCCACTGCAAGATTGATTAAATGGATGAAAAAAATTGATTGAAAAGAAAAATGGTTTTAAAATTTGGGGTTGACACTATCAATGCAGCAATAGCATTAGCAAAAAAATGTAACATCATTTGTCCGTCTATTTTTTATACCATTTGTTATCCCACTGCAAGATTGATGCTAGTTTCGTTAGCCCTTACATGGCTTTTTGCATTGTGTGTTAGCATTAAGCTAGTGGACAATGTGGTTCGGTTCACGGGAGATATGGACCGAGCTGGAGAATGAATGAACGAACGAATAAATAGAATGATTTTTAAAAATCGGTGTACGGCATGTTAGTTAAAACGCATTGAAAAAAAATAAGTATCCCTAAATTTCTTTAAAAATGGGGATAAGCCTTTTTCACGTAAAAACGTTTTAAGGTTCATTTGCCTTTATTTGATCAGAAATCAAAACCACCAGACCAAAACATTTATGTAAAATAAATCTGATATTGTTTATTGTAATAAAGATCAACTTATTGCTTGTGGTGTTAAAGAAAAACAAAACCCTTGGAAGAGAACCTTAGTGGACAATGTGGTTCGGTTCACGGGAGATATGGAGCGAGCTGGGGAATGAATGAATGAATAAATAAATAATGATTTTTAAAAATCGGTGTACGGTATATGTCAGTTCAAACGCATTGAAAAAAAAAAGTATCTCCAAATTTCTTTAAAAATGGGGATAAGCCTCCAAAAAGCATTTTTCACATAAAAACGTTTTATGGTTAATGCCTTTATTTGATCATAAATCAAAAACACTAGACCAAAACATTTTTGTAAAATAAATCTGATATTGTTTATTGCAATAAAAGATCAACTTCAAAAAAAACCCCTTGGAAGAGAACCTTGGAGGAAAAAAAAAAAATCGCACAATAAATCGTAATCGCAATATTTAAGTCAAGATTCTTTTTCCAAAATCATCACTCTCGCTACTATGTACGGGAGCACGTGTGAGAAGGTCGGTTGGGACGAGGGGGTGGAGTGGGTGTCACTTAGCCTGATCAATATGCAGATGGCGACCCGCTCAGAGTTCATTAATGCTGAAGCGAGGTGGATTTCATCTCCTGTCTGTGATGTTCATTAACTTCGGCCTCCGCGTTGAAATAAAGACACGATGATGACACAATAATGGTGGGAGTCGCTCGCGCACACACACATTCAAGACCTGACCAATAGAGAGCCATGGGGCCATAACGAAGCGAGGTGGATTTCATCTCCTGTCTGTGATGTTCATTAACTTCGGCCTCCGCGTTGAAATAAAGACAC